CTGCGTCCCTTTTTCCTTCACAGATTTTTTTTCACAATAAATGCCTCAAATGTCTGATTCCATCCTCAGGGCCTGCTCTCTCTGCACACAGACTAATGCAGTAGTATAGTTCAATCTTCCAAAACTGCTGCAGCCAATTTGTTCTGTCAGTTACTGTGAGAAGAGTGTTAAAATATCCAAAATTAAAGTGTGCATGGTTTATCTTTCTCTACTCTTAGTTTCAACTCATCTGTGCCTTTAAATCTAAAGTGCATTTCATGTTGATAGCATAAATTTGGGTCTTTTTTATTTTTTATTTTACTTTTTGGGGGTCTTACTTTTTTTTTGTCTTTTTTAATCCAGTTTAACAATCTCTACCTTCTAATTGGCATATTTAGGCCACTTATATTTAATGTCCTTATTGAGATGGTTTAAGTCTGGGTTTTTCAACCTGACATTATTGGCACTTTGGTTTCGGGGTGTTGTCCTATGTGTTGTAGAATGTTTAGCAACATCCCTGGCGTTAAACCACATTTTGTTATGATATCCTTTTTAAAACCTCCTGCTGTATTTTAGTAATATTTTGTTCAAGTTTTTTTTGTGTCTGTATTCATGGAGGGATATTGGCCTGTACCTTTCTTATGATGTTTTTATCTGGCCTTTCTCATTATGCATGTAACTGTTTAGTATTTTCATTCTACATTTAACTACTCAAGTTGGATGTTATTATTAGTATATTTCATAACCACTGTTTAGATTTCCTCACAGCTTTACCAGCGTCTTCCCTTGCCATCCCTCGTTACATCTCATTTCCTTTGCAGCCACTTTCCTTCTTGCTGGAGTAGCTCTTGTGTTGAAGTCTATTGGTGGTACTTCAAAGTGCAAAATCAAGTTCTCTTGATTTTTTGTTTGTCTGACTGTCTGCCACTGTTTGTTGCCATGCCACATGGCTTGCAGGGATCTTAGTTCTTTGACCAGGAGTTGAACCTGGGTCAGTTGTGCCGAATCCTAACCACTGGCCTGCCAGAGAATTCCTGTTGTCTTTGTCTTTGAATTGTTTAGAAAGACATACTCTTCAAGGCTATCAGTTCTGTCTCTTAGCACTTTGAGAATGATACTCTCCTGTCTTCAGGACTCCTTTGTTGAGACATCTTTTATTAATAATTATTCGTAGTTATTTGCCTTTTTTCTCTGACATATGAATATCTCATTACTTCTGAGGTTTTATTGTTTCATTACAAGATATGTATGTGTGTATTTCTTTTCATGAATCTTGTTCAAAGCTTGTGTTTCTGAGGATACAGGCCTTTCCTTAGTTTTGGATAATTTTTAGCCCTTATCTCTGAAGACACTGCCTTCTCTAATCCTATTTTATTTTCTTCTGGAATCCCAATTAGACGTAGGTTGGACTTTTGCATTCTATCCTCTATGACTCTCAACTTCTCTTTCTTCATTTATATCTTTGCCTCACAGATCTGTCATCTAACTCAGGGATTTTTCTTTCAGCTGTGACTCGTGCTTTTTAATCTGCCACTGAGATTTTAAATTCTTTTGATTCTTTTTCATATATATTTAATTATTTATGATAGTGGTTTGCTCTTATGTTTCAGTTTCCTTTATATTCATTGAAAATTTTAAAGCCTTTTTTGTTATTGAAGTATAGTTGATTTATTTTTTTATTTTTAATTTAAAAAAAAAATTTTTTTTTTGTGTAGTTGATTTATCGTTTCATGTGTATAGCAAAGTGATTCAGTTACATACTCTTTCAGATTCTTTTTCACTGTAGGTTATTACAAGATATTGAATATAGTTCCCTGTGCTCCACAGTAGGTCTTTGTTTATTATTTTATATGTAGTAGCATATATCTGCTAATCCCAAATTTCCAATCTGTCCTTCCCCTTAAGCATATTTCCATACGGTTCTGGTTCTCCTCCGTCCACATGGAATCACTGGAGCTGGGGTGAGGGCTTGTCAGGCTCTGCCGGTGCCTCTTCAGCTGAGTCCTCTCGTGGGCCTGTTTCCCTGTAGTCATCTCTGACTGTGAGCTGTGTGGCTGGTCCTGACCCGTGAGCCTCCTGAGGGGCCTGGGCTGAGTGTGAGTCCCCAGAGGTGGCGTTCATGGCCCCTCTGCCAGGCCCCTTGAGGTGTCGCAGACAAGGAGGCATGTCCGAGCAGCTGCCTGCGTGGAGCTCTCGAGTGGGAAGGGCGAGGAGCTCCACACCCCAGTGCTGGATGGGGCAGGCTGGTGATTACGGGCGCTCAGGGGCTGTTCTTCACTCCGGCCAGGGCCTGAGGTACGAGACTGAGGTCCTCGTCGGCTCTGTTTGCCAGCAAATTGATTTTTCCTTAGTTCACATTTTCGCTGAGCGTTAGGTCTTCACGGGTTCTGGCTTTACAGGGAGGTCAGGTCCAGCTCCCCACCTCATCTGGACCGAAGCCTTGTTCTCATTAACCCCGCTCACTGAGGAATCCCGGGTCTGGGTGTTGGCTGGATCACTGGGTAACCTGTGGCTTCAGAGCTGGCTTCTGTTCTGTTCTGGCCTCTGTTCTGGTTTGACAGGACTCTCTTTGGTTTCGGCTCTTGTAGATTTTCTTTTTCTTTTTCCATTTATTTTTATTAGTTGGAGGCTAATTACTTTACAGTATTTTAGTGGTTTTTGCCATACATTGACATGAATCAGCCATGGATTTACATGTGTTCCCCATCCTGAATCCCCCTCCCACCTCCCTCCCCATCCCATCCCTCTGGGTCATCCCAGTGCACCAGCCCCGAGCACTTGTCTCCTGCATCCACCCTGGACTGGCTATCTGTTTCACACTTGATAACGTACATGTTTCGATGCTGTTCTCTCAGATCATCCCACCCTCGCCTTCTCCCATATAGATTTTCTTTACTTTATAGAGATCAGCTGCCCATTTCAGAAAGTGCTTTATGTGTCTTATTCACCTTTTCTAGGTGTTTGGAGGGGAATGTTTTCCAGAACAGCTAGAGTGTTATCCTGTCAAAAGTTGAAACTTCATATTTTGTTTCTATCTAAAGTATAGTCGGGTATGATAGTCTGATTCTTTGGATGTTTTGGTTCTTACGTCAAGAATGATGACATTTATTAGTAATCATATTAAAGAATGTTAAGTCAAGCTTAGTACATTGGTTTATTAAAAGCCTGTTTACAGGCATTGCAGTTTCCAGCCCATCTGAGCGATGATTTTCATTTTGAAGACATTCATTCAGAAAAATTACACAGCTGTTCTGATTTTGTGCTACGACATGGCAAGATCTCTAATGAGCGATTTTGATTCCTGATGGATTAGCAATTTTTGTAATTACAAATTCCCAGGAAAAATATTCTTTTTTATTTTGGCCATGCCATGCAGCATGCAAGATCTTAGTTCCCCAAACAAGGATCAGACCTGCATGCCCTGCAGTGGAAGTGCAGAGTCTTAACCACCAGACCACCAGGGAAGCCCTGTTGGCATGTCAGATGATACACATGTAAGGCGTGCTATGTCCCTTTCTTGCCTGCGAGCGGAGGTGGAGCCGTCCCTCACAGTCCCTGCCCTCCGCTCACTGTCCTGCTCCTCCTTGGCCGACCCCGCCTCCCATGTCCACCGCCGTGGGTCTGCTAGAGCCCCGAGGCAGAGCAGGGCTTCACTCTGCAGTCACACTCAGGCAGAGTCCTGACTCGCTTCTCCCGGGCTGTGTGACCTTGTCTCACAGCCTTGGTATCACAAGGATGGTCTGAGGATCCCGGGGGGTAACGCCTGTGCAGTGCCGGCCAGGCGGCCTGGCGCAGGATGCGTGCTGCTGAGAGGCCTGTGCCCTATCCCTCGTTGCTGCCATCATCCTGACCAGGCCTCCATCTCGTCTCTGCTCCCCAGGTTCACCACCCTGGTGCCTGTGGAGTTGGCTACTTCTCTTGACTGGGCGCGAACTCGCTCCGCCTGAACTGGCGCAGAAAACTCCCAGCTAGTCCTCTGCCTGGGCCCATGCCCTCCTCCTTCCAGCCTGTTCCGGTGGGCGTCCCAGTAAGGCTTCAGACTGGTACACCTGCAAAAGCAGGTGTCTTCAAGGGTCCTGCTTTTCCTTCCTGTCGCTGAAGACGTAGCTCCCTTACTCCATGTCATGCTCTGGCACCAGGCATATTTATAGCCTGAACAGAGCCTGAAAGCAAGCTCCGGCGTGACCACCTCTGCTCGCTGGGGGGGGCTCTCTAGTGCACATCTCACTGCTGCAGCCCCGCTCTGAGAGGCTGGGCTCTCGCCCTGCCGTGTGTTACCCCAGCAGCTGACTCAGGATCCTGAATGCAGGGGGTGCTCTCAGGTTTGGCAGATTGATTGCCATGTAAATTACTGCATCAGGGTTCAAAACGGCTTATTGAAGATCTTGCCATGTGTCTTAGCAAGGTGGAAATGGTTGTGTAATTTTTCTGAATGAGTGGTTTCAAAATTTAAAAAATGATTATTCAGGTTCATTGGAAGCCTAAAGATCTGTATTCAATGCTTGACATATGCTTTTTACTAAATGAACGTGTTAAGCCTGCATTAATTTTATTTAACATGATTATTAATGTAAGAGTCAAACACCAGGAGTAAGTTTATGAAGCGCTCTGAAGTGTGTTGTCTTGTTGACCCTCCCTCCTGCACACCTCTGTGGCGCACACATCATGGGTGACAGCTGGTGGGTGACTGGTCCATGTTGAGAGAGCAGGAAGCAGAGCTTGGGAGTGGGACAGGTCTTCTGATTCCAGACTCTGCTTTCGGGGGGAACAATCTCTCTTGTCCAAGCTCCTTAGAATTCTCTTGAGAAGAGCTCAGTGGTTCACACTTTGTCATTTCAAAAATAAAAAACCTGGAAAGAAAAAGAGATATAATTATCTTTCTGAACTATATACATTTTCCATCAGGAATATGTATAGGCTGCTGTGTGGTGAGGTTTTCCATTTCACGTCGGTACTGTTTCACAGTTTGGAAGCTGGCCCAGTGACAGGCCCATTTGATTTTAAGATGTTTGCTCTTTCAGGGGAAAACTGAGTCCATCACGGTGGTGAAGCTGCTGAGCTGCTTCGATGACCTGGTGGCTGCAGGCACAGCTTCTGGGAGGGTTGCAGTTTTTCAGCTTGTATCCTCATTGCCAGGGAGAAATAAACAGGTAAGTGCCAACCATTTTAGCATTTCTTAATTTCTTGGCAAATTCCTCACATCCTTTAAAATGAGAAGTCCTCATCTGCTGAGAAAGTATTTGCTCAGAAAAGCCTAACTCTGTGCTCTTCATAGTCAGATAGCATTTTGTTGCTGGTAGGACACTTGGTGAAAAGCACACATGGGTAATTTAAATTGCTTAGTAGTCTCTGGCTCCTCCCTGTCAGTTTTCAAGGTAAATAGACAGATGGGTCCTTGTGCAGGGTTTTGCATGGAAAGCAGCTTGGGAACACCAGTTCCTCCACCAAACAGAAGGGATTGCATATCACCTTGTCCACACAGCCCCATCTCACAGTGTCTCTCCTTCTTCTTGTGTGTATTTTTATCGTTTATTCACAGCTTCGGAGGTTTGACGTCACTGGCATTCACAAAAATAGCATAACAGCTCTGGCTTGGAGCCCCAATGGGATGAAACTGTTCTCTGGAGATGATAAAGGGAAAATCGTCTATTCTTCTCTGGATCTAGATCAGGTAAATCATTTTCAGAAGTATTGTTGGTCTGATACTTGGGGAAATTATAGCTGGTCAATTTGTATTCTTGAACCTTGTCCCATTTTTTCTGGCTGTGCTGGTCAGCTGTGGGATCTCAGTTCCCCAGCCAGGGATTGAACCCAGGCCTCGTGAGTGAAAGCCTGGCACCCTAACCTCTAGGCCACCGGGAAACTCGCTGTTGTCCTTTCTACTCTCAGTTGTTGTTGTAACATTTTCTTTCCAGGGCTTTCCTGACGCTTTGTAAGCTTCTACTTCTGTGTGTTAAGAATCGGCCTTTCTTTCTACTCGAACAAACACTTTTCTCATTCTCCTGTTGTCTATTGCTACCATTTAGAAAAGAAGCCACTACTGAGCCTTATTCCTTGATAGTTTGTAGAGGAGGGTATAAAACACTTCAAAGTCATGACTGTTGTCAACTAAAAAAAAAAACACAATCTAAAAGTTGAGAATTTTTATTCGGTGGACTTCCTGAGGACTTAAGCCTGGGAGACAGTTTCAGATAACTCTGAGGGATCCTTTCAAAGAGGTGGGGAAGGAACCAGGATCTATAGGAGCTTTGAAAAAACAAACCTGATTGTTGAACATCAAGAAGTGTGCTAATTAAAGAAGAAATAAATCTCAAGTTAATGAATTTAGCACTTTTTTATATGTGGGAAACTGCAAGAGTCTGGGCTCACTGAAATCACATTCTTTTATTTGCAGCTTAAGGGCCATTGTCCCGTGCTTTTCCATCCTGAACCCCTTCAGCTACCTGTTGAGGGCAGCCCGCAGTGGCTGATGGCTTGATGCAGGGTAGCCTGTGTATCTCCACCCTGAGTTCCCTGAGGGTGCGCCCTGGGGTGGGGAGAGGACAGCCCTGTGGCTGATGGCTGCAACTTCCTTTGTATACTGATACGGCAGGCGGCAGTCTTGGTCCACTCTGTGGACAGCGGTTGGAGTGGGTGGTGAACTCACCCCAGCCCCACTTTGGCTGTGGGAGAATGGTGGAGGAGGAGGAGGTTTGGTGGCAGCAGGGAGCCAGCTCCACCCCTGTATTTGCTCTTTAAGCCTCTGGACAGAGCCCTAAGCCTCACATTCTGATCTTCAGTTAGTAGGTAAGAAACCCAGGCTCCCCGGGGTCCAGGCACTAGGTCATGCCCAGCAGAGCTCGGCTTCAAACCGAGGGTCTGCTTCTGTTGTGTGGGTGGCTTTAAGCCTGCCTGGGCTTTGTTTTTTCAGACGTCTGCCCAGTTGGAATGCACTCCTTGGTGATATGGACCTTTCGTCTTCTTATTTGTAGCCATTATTCCTAGTGCGTCCAGAAATTCAGTGATTATTAGCTGGGTAACTCTGAGTCCCTCTAATCTGACACTGACCTGTCTATCTTGAATATTCTGTCACAGTAGTTCTCAAACTTTTTGGTCCGAGGACCCCTTTACACTATACCTCTGAAAAAGAGCACTCCAGAGAGGTTGTGTTTGTATGGGTTAAGTTTTTGTATATTTTTGTGAAAATAAATACTACTGAGGATTCCCTGGTGTTCAGTGGTTAGGACTCCGAGCTCAATACCGAGGGCCCAGATTCAATCCCTGGATGGAAAATCCCACAAACTGCAAGGTGAGGCCAAAAACGGAACATGGGACTTGCCAGGTGGTCCAGCGTTTGAGACTCCTCGCTCCCATGCTGGAGGCCTGGGTCTGATCCCTGGTTGGGAAACTAAGATCCCATATACCTTGCAGTGTGACAGAAAAAAAAAACAAAAAACTACTACTACTTTGAAGAGTAGCATTGCTTTACGTTTTTGCAAATCTCTTTATATCTGCTCTGCCTCAATAGAAGACAGCTGGGTTCTGCATTTGGTTTGTCACAATACATTGCTTTGGTTGGGGTATATCAAGAAAATTTGGCCTCACACAGACATGTGGTGGGAAATATGAGTGTTTTAATAGCCCTTCCAGAGAATTGTATTATGTTCTTCTTTAATCACATCCCCAAATTGACTAACGGTAGTTTCTTTAAAGGTTGGTTACAGCATGGAATCTGAAAGCGTGTGGATGAATTTTTGCTGCTCTGTTACAGTGAAGTCCATTGGTCTGTCTTGCACTTCATAGGACTCCTTGACTCATTTTGTGTGATTTTGTAATTCTGTAAGTTTGTGTGTTGGTCACTTGGGAAATATTGATGTACCAAATGATGCAGATCTTCCAAATGTTGATACATTTAATTTTATGATATAAAGCAAAAACACCACCTTTGTTAATATCTCCATCATTCTGATGAGAAAGGTCTTGAGCTGTTGGGAATGTCAGGTTCACAAGAGTGGGTACATTTTTTCAGATTCTGATCTTCACTTGTGAACTTGAAGATTGTGTTATTATCAGCAACAAATACCCTCACTTATTTTCCTTGAAGTGACAGATACACTTTATTCCTTCTGAGAAAATGCCCGCTAAATACCCAACTTTGAATAATTCTAGTGTTTCAAGTAAAATGTATCTTATGGGGGAAAAAAGTTCAGCTCCCAGCTCGTACAGTTGTCCAAGTGCTCCTCCTCAAAAGAGCCACCGGACTTCAGCTTCAGCCAGAGAGCTGTGTGCAGACCTGGTTTCATCACAGAATACAAAGACAGGTGTCCCCAAGGTCAAGATTTGTTGGGATTGTCATTTTCCTGCATAATAGACCTTCTGAAGTGAGATTCACGTTTTTGCTGCACATGCCCAGTGGCTGAGGGCACCGTGACAGCTCCTGGAGTTTGGTGCCCTGCTTGCCTTGGGGTCCCCCCCACCCCGATCTTTCAGGAGCTCTGTCCACCAACAGTATGAACCACTGCTCCGTGAAGAAGGCAGATAAAACCTCACATTATGATGAAAATGACTTCGACCTTGAGAGGCCCTCGGGGACCATGGGCCACACTTTGAGAACTGCTGCTCTCCAGGAAAACATTTTGTTAAGGTTTTCCAGGATCCCGTGTTGGCACTTTCCTGCTGTCGCTCCCACAGTGAGGGTTGCACCATGGGAACACTGCTCATGCACGTCAGGAAATGGAGGGAAAACTCGCACGCAGAGAGCACTGTCCTTGTGTGGTGCTGACCCCACTCCCAGCACCGACTGTCTCACTGTGAGCACTGTTCCCTGAACCCATGGTAGGCAAGGCGCTGGCTGAGAGGCTGGAAGAAAATGTGGGGAGCCGTAGGAACTGCAGACACGCTTATTCTCTCCTAGCTGACACGGCAGACAACATAACCGCACACAATCCTTCAGGGCTTTTCCAGGTGAAGCGTGTTTATACTTAACCAGAGCAAAAGTAGCCTGTGGCCGGGCGAGCACCTTGTGACGCACATGCACAGTGCCTTGAGCAATCTCAGCTGTCACACAACTGCACAGTCATTGTTTACAGGACAGGGACTTAGAGAGCCTGACTGGTGCCATCTTGTTAATTTCCTCACATCTTGGCATCCTGGTCATTTGTTCCCAGCTTTATTGAGGTTCCAATCATTTTTTTAAAGCACAGGTGTTTGATGAGATTTGCAGAAAAGATGTATGGTTTTGCACAGTGAAAGTCACTCAGTCCTGTCTGACTCTTTGTGACCCCGTGGACTGTACAGTCCATGGAATTCTCCAGGCCAGAATACTGAAGTGGGTAGCCTTTCCCTTCTCTAGGGTATCCTCCCAACCCAGGGAGTGAACCCAGGCCTCCTGAATTGCAGGTGGATTCTTTACCAGCTGAGCCACAAGGGAACCCCTCTTCACAGTACAATACAATGAATTTAATTCCATTACAAGCTAAGTCGAAAGTTAAAAAAACTGCAGTCTGTGTAAGTAAAGATGGGAAGGAACTCTGGCTTAATGTCCATGATAGTGGAGGTAATGGGAATCCCCCGTCTCAGTCATGCTGGTGGTTACACACCGGTATGCGTTTGTCGACATTCATAGAATCATATATCTAAAAAGGGTGACTTTTACTGTATGTAAATCTTACCAGTAAATCTGATGGCTACTCCCTTTTCCCCACAAAGGTCTACGACATTGCGTCAGTGTTTCCTAAACAATTAAAGAAAAAGGCTTTCGGAGAAGAGGGACTTACAGGAGCAGATACTGACACAAAGACACATCACTTGTGTCAGCAGCAAAGTTCCACGCAGAGCTCTACTTTGCTCTTTAACGTACTTAATACCATTTCATTTCTTTCTACCTGTCTCTTCTGACCCTTTCAGTAGGCCAGGATGTAATGTCCCCAGAATTGCTTTGAACTCTATGGAGGAGGTTGTGATATGAATTTTGATGGTTGTCACAGTAATTTTTTAGAAAGTCCAATTGTTTTCTGTTGGAATAAACAGTACACATGGTGCGACATATTTCCACTTAGATCTTTATGGATTTTTCCTTCTTTGAACCATGTTGTAGGGAAAGAGCAAATTAGCCAGGGTGGCGTGGCCATGGCCTCTTGCACTCACCCCACGAGTTGTAAATTCATGGTTGTGTAACAGCTGAGATCATTCGTAGCACTGCGCAGGTGCAGTGACCCATATAAGCCTCATCTGAGAAACTCAGAGGAGCGGCGAGTTGAGGTGTGTTGAGTTGCATCATCGTCGTTGCTGTTGCTTCTGTGAATGAAGGATGCCCGCGGCTCCTGTGGCTCCTCACATCTTCTGGCTTACCCGCTCGTGCCTTGCCTACCCTGGTTCAGCGAACAGGGAGGTACAGAGTGACACATGTACTGAAAGCATTTTCTAACAATCATACAGAAGGTTTAAGTGTTTCTTGCTAACCTTGCTGTGGCCTGACACAGCTGGTAACCCTGACAGTTTTCTCACCAGTGAGGGCTTCTCCAGGTAGTATCATCGCGGCGGGCTGACACTGAACCCATGAGGATGCGCGCCTTCATCTAAGGCAGACATTGGCCGGAATGCAGACACAGGAGGGCCCGGGCCAGCCCTGACAGCTGGGGCGTCCCTGGAGCCGGCCCTGCGGGCCTCACGCACCTCTTCCCGCAGGGCGTCTGCCGCTCACACCTGGTGCTGGAGGAGCCGGCCTCCATCGTGCAGCTGGACTACAGCCAGAAGGTGCTGCTGGTCTCCACGTTGCAGCGGAGCCTGCTGTTCCACACCGAGGAGCGCTCCGTGCAGCAGGTCGGGGCACAGCCGCGGAAAAGGTGAGCTGCGCTGGGGCCACGGCGTGAGGGCCCGCGCTCCAGGTGGGTCCCCAGCCCCCCGCCGCTGCTCATGTGGGCGTTTGCTCCTTGCAAGCCGCTGCCTGCACAGCTCAGCTCAGAGGTCAGGGTCGGGTGGGCATTCCCGCCTCGCTCCCTCCGTGAACCACGCCACTGTGGACGCAAGTGGCCTCAGCGCTACTGGCTGTGTCCCCTGCCGTGGAGCCTAGTGAGGGGTGTGGCCAGGATGTGGGCTGTAACCCGGGGTGGGGTGTCCTGAAGAAGGGGGGTCAGAGCTCCTGGCTGAGAGAGGACCCCTTCCGTGGCCTGCTCCTGGCGGAAGAACGGCTGCAGCAGAGCCGGCCCAGCCCATCCCCGGGGTGGAGCTGGAGGAGCGCCAGGGGGAGGAGCACTGCTGTCTGCAGAGGGAGGGGGTGGGGGACGGCAGGGGGCACGGGGGCTGGGAGGGAGTGGGTGGGTGGATGAGCGCGGGGCTGGTGGTGCCAGCCGCTGGTCCTCTTAGCGTCCGTTATGCTGTGTCCTGGGCTTTGCAGGAACACAGTGCAAGTTTATTCCTTCTTCTGCCTGGCAGAGCAGCCCATGGCTGTTCAGATAGTCACATCTCCCCTTTGGCTTTGCCTTTCCACATTGAACACCCCCTTAATCCCACTGACAGTTGGTCTTCGTACAGCGATCGTCTCCTTCCGGCTCCTGGGCAGCCCCGCAGGACCCGCTGCTCAGGCTGGGTGGTCCTGCAGACTTGGCTGGACTCTCCCTCTGCCAGGGCCCCGCTCTCCCCCTCATGTCTCTTCCTGGTTTCTCTGTCGGTGTCTTGCTGCATTTTGTCTTTTGGGAAGGAAGGTGGCGTGCAAAGAGAGAGACTTAAAAACCAGTTACCTTCACACGGATTGTGTACCCAACAGTCTTTCCCTTCACACCTGGCTTTCTCACCGCCTGCGTGACGCCTCAGCACCTTCGCGTGACCCTCTCCTGGTGGGTCTGTGTGGCCAGGTGTCTGGGCACACTTGCTGGGCACTGTCTCAGATGCAGAAACAGCTAAGTGAGTCCCCTTTCTCTTAGGGAGCTGTGTTAGAGACGTGGGGGACCACAGAGTGAACAGAAACACTTCTAACCTGTGTCCTGACAGCTTGTCTCTGTCATGTGCTGTTAGATCGTGATTAGAAAAGGACCCCAACGAAGACCGCCTCCTGGAGCTGTGGCTTCGGTCACCAGGCGTCCCACTGGGCGGCACCCAGGGCTCAGCGGGGAGCCAGGCTCTGCCCTTGGAGATGCCGGTCTCGGTGTGGGCAGTGCTCGGAGGCAGCATCTGGGTGAAGGGTTGGGTGGGCGCGGGTAGCCAGTGGCGGCCTCTGGGGAAGAGATCCTGGGCTGAAGCCTCCAGTGTGTGAAGAGCCTTCCGGTCTCGGGAGCAGCAGGTGCCAAGGCCCTGCATTGGGCCCGGGCCTGGAATGTTCCAAGAGCCAGAGGGGAACTGGGGCGGCTGTGAAGGGCGGGCGGGTGCTGGAAAGGAAGACCTAAGCCAGTCCTTGCCCCTGAGTTATTCCAGGCAGGACGGGAAGCCAGTGGGGGCTTTAGGCAGGAGGAGGGCGGCCTGAGTGCGCCTGGTTCTGCACAGCGAGGCGGCAGCTGTCGGGGTCCTGGGCGCGACGTGGAATCCACCTGGGCCCCCGGCATGAAGAGGGGTGGGAGGGGGAGGAAAGGGTGATTTGGGGATGAATTCGATATAGGGGGCAAGGGAAGAACAGAGTAAGGAAGGATTTCTGTGCCCTTGGCTAAAGTAGCCAGATGGAAAGAGAAGCCCTTTAACTTAGAAGCCCTGGGTTAATGTCTGGATGTCTGAATTCTCTCTTGGGCGTGTTGTGTTCGAGAGGCCTGTTAGGTGGCTGAGGCGGAATCCCCACTGGGAGTAACGTGCGCAGGTCGGCAGCTCAGGAGAGGGGGCTCAGCCAGAAATGAAGATGAGGTGGTCAGATGCAGGTGACACTGAGCCCCCTGGCCTGGATGAGGTCACCTTGGGAGTGTGTTTCCCATTCAACCCTGGAGGGTCCTTCTTGGGTGTCTGCTCTGCCTGGTGCCCTTCGCAGTCTGGGGAAGACCGCTCTGAGCAAGGGGGACAAGAGCTCTGGTCTTCAGGAGCTCAGGTTCCTGTGGGGGAGACTGATGTTAAATAACCAGGTTCTAGAATGTTCAGCAGAAGTAATAAATGGGTGGAGCTTTGAGGATGTCTGCCTGGTTGTTTTGCGTAGGCAGACGTGTCCCCACCCTCCTGTGCGGTGGGGTCTGAGCCGATTCCTGGGAGAGGATGGGGGGAGCCAGGAGGACCCCTCAGAGGGGCGCAGGCCAGGTGTGTGGGGGGGGAAAGGGGCTGGGACCCCATCCATAGGCTTCATGGCCCCGCTTGGGGCTGTGTTCCTCCAGCACTGTGAGAGTCACAAGCTGTGTCGACTCTTGCCACCCTGTGGCCGGGTGAGGGCGGCCGCCACAGAGACCGCCAGGGTCCCGGGTGGCCGAGGTGAGAGTCGGGCTCACACCAGGGCGGGGTGGCAGGGATGCTTTGAAGGCAGAGCCGATGGCTTGGCTGGCTCTGAGTTGTGAGAGCAGGAGAGCCGTCGGAGGCGGTGGTCCGGGCGGTGGGTAGAGTGTCACTGTGGGCAGGGCGTGGTCTTCCTCCGGGGTCAGGCTGGGGTGGCGGGTGGGGGCGTGCATGTGCTCAGGGCCACGGGTGGCCGCAGCAGTGCCCTTGAGGGCCTCTAGACGGCATTGAGTGCTCTGGGCCCTCGGAGCTCACTGATGTGTGAGTGTCACTGGCCCTGAGCAATGCGCCCAGCTGGGCCTCCGGCTCTGGCAGCCTGGTGGCCAGGCACCCCTCCCTTGTGGGAACTTCCCTGGGGGTCTAGTAGTTAGGACTCCGCTCTTCCACTGCAAGGGGTGCGGGTTCAATCCCTGGCCAGAGAACTAAGGTTCTACACGCCATGTGGCTTGGCCAAAAAATCCCACCTCCGTTGAGGGGCACAGGCCGTGGCGTTGGGGGAGCTGAGGCAGGAGGGGTGGGCCGCACGCTGGGTGGGCGTGTGGGCCCACCCAAGGGGAGACCAGGTGGTGGTGCAGGTCACTGCCCTGAGCCTGGGAGGGCCGCGCCGGCCTGGTTTGGCCCTAGGGCGGCAGAAGTTGTCCTGTCAGCGGGGAAGCTGGGCCCAGGGCCAGCTGCAGGGAGCGGTGGTTGATCCAGCCTGTGAACCCCCTCAGACTGAACAGAACAGCGCGTTTGTCTCTCCCAGAAGACCGCAGTGCGCAGCTGTTTGCTTCTCCTCCGTGTCCGGCAGCAGGCCCTCCTGGCACTGGGTGGGTGCGGAGGCTGGGCCCCGCCCAACCACGTTGGCCCTGGGGCAGCTCCCTATCTGCCCTCTGGTGCCTTTGGGCGTCCGGCTGTGGCGTGTCGTCTTGTTTCCAGCTCTCTGTCTTGCTCAATGTTATTGTACATAAATTAGAAGATCTGATTTATGGTTAGAATTTGATAACTAGAAACACCTTTTTCACATTGGTGTGTCTCATAAAGGAAATGAAGATATTTTTTAAAGTCATCATTGATATTTCTAGAAAACAGCCCCACCAAAGTTGAGAAACTAGGTAGATTTATGATTTTAGAATCCTGCAGAGCTTTGACCTTAAAAGTTGGAGTTTTTGTGTCCAATTCAGAATGACATCAGCCAGTGCTGGGGAGTCACTCTGTGTGTGGGTGGCGGCCAATTCAGGGTGGAGGGCAGTTTGCCCTGGGCGGTATGTAGCCAGTTAGCCCTGGCTCACCACCTTCTCCCAGCCTGCTGCTGACACGTTTCAGCGGCTCCTTGGAGCAGGGCCCCCACCTGCCGTGCTCAGCTTGTCCTTCCCCAGAGGGTCATAGTCTGCTCAGTGTCCAAGGTCTAGCCTTCCACGCCCCAGGCAAAGTGTGTCGCCTTGGTCTAGAGGCCTCCAGCAGCTCTTGGAGCCGCGGAGGTGGCGCGTCGCTGACACACGTCGGCTGCAGTGTGTTACACGCCGGGGCCGAGACCTTCCTCCTGCATCTTTCACATTGCCTGCACCACAGCTTCTCACATGGTGCGGGAGCTCGCTAAACGTTGGTTAAAATGAAGGCTTTAGTCATGACACCTGAAGTGACAGATTTTTAAGAGGACTTCTGAGTAGAAGGAAAATACTTAGATTTGGAAATTGGATCACCAAACAGAAATTGACAGGAAAGGCAAGAGAAAGAGGTTATGGGCTGCCCTGCTGGAACTCCTGTGGGCATCTCTGTTGGAGAACCTTTCCAGAACAAATCACCAAAGGCAGTAATCACCACGATGCTGACCGTGGGGTTGCCAGAATGACCCATGGTGTCAGGTTAGTCTGACGACCTTCTCTTCAGAGTTGAATTGATATCGTGTCCTCCCTGGACCTTGTCCAGAGGAGTGCAGTGAGATGCTGAACCGCAGAGAAGCACCCAGCTAAGCTGGCCTGCGTGGGGTGTCCCAGGGTGCTCGGACGCCGCCCTGGGAGTCCAGGGCTGCTGTGCAGGCTGAGGTGGGGCCCGGCACCCACAGGAGCGCGACGGGAAAGGTGGAGGTCGAGGCAATTGAGCGTTTGGGGGGCCTACCGTGTCACCGGCATTGCTTATTGTCTTGGAGTGTCATTCAGCCTCATGTCAACCTTTGAGGTGGGAGTTATCCCTGGTTTACAGATTAGGAAGCTGACGTGCACAGCGTGGAGTGACTGTCAGGGCTGTGGGACTTCCCACTTCCCTGTGGTCCAGTGGCTGAGACTCTGCACTCCCGACGAAGGGGGCCTGGGTTCAGTCCTTGGTCAGGGAACTAGATCCCGTGTGACACAAATAAGAGTTTGAATGAAGATCAGAGATCCCGCACGCTGCAACTAAAGCCTGGTGCGGCCAAGTAAGTATTAAAAAACAAGCCACAATTCCTTCTGCTGTTTAGAATCAGGGAAATACAGAGAATCAGAGGACTTAGGGTTAAACTGAACTCTTACTCTTTGAACCCTGGGAGACACAGGGGTTCGGCAGAGATGTGGAGCAGCAAGAACTCCTAGGTTGCTGATGGGCTGGTGTAAACACATTGAGAAGAGTTTGAAATTGTCTTCCTGACCTGAATCTGCTCTTAATCAGCAACATGGCAGTCACGCGACAGTCCAGCAGTCCACTCTGAAATGTCCGTGACAAACTCTTAGACCTGTGTGCTAGGAGGGTTTGTGCAGACATGCTCATGGTGAGCACGATTCAAAATGAACAAGTGGAAATAATTCAAATACCCATCAACCTGAGGGTGAATAAATCATGGAGCCCCGTATAGCAGTGAAAATGAATGAGCCACAGCGCTTTTGTCAGCAAGGATAAAATCTCAGAATTATTAGGTTAAAAGCAAGTTGCAAAAGACGACAAATAGCATTGTACTTTGTAGTACAAATGACAGACAAAAGTATGTCTATACCAAAGTATGTAGTGTTTAGGAGTACGTAGGTATGTGGTTAAACTTTTGATAGAAGCAAGGGAGTAATAAACACAGAATTCAGTGTAGGACTCACACCTGGGGTCCGGAAGGGCAGGGACCTTTGGAGCAGGAGAACATCAATGATATAGCTGTTGACTCTATTTCTAAAGCTGAGGGACAGGTTCCTGGGTGTATATTTTGTTATTTATTTGTTTTAGATATTTCATGGTACTAAACATAGGAAAACAAAAAACACACCACGCCTGAGGATCAGAATGGAGATTGTGGGTTTAAGAGAAATTCTGAAAGGGCTGCCCCAGTTCTGGGCCTGAAGCGCGTTCCCTGGGGTGCTGGGCTGAACACAGCAGCGGGCATGGGAAGGAGCAGACTTTGAGAGCAGGGAAGCTGCCCGGCCCTGGGCCTCGCTCGTCCCGCCTCCGCGTCCTCTTCTCTAGGACAGGAGTCCTGACTCCAGCCTCGTGGGGCTGTGGTTAGGAGGGCACCAGTGCGGGGTGTGTAACTGGGTGCGTGCTCTGCGGGTGCACACTTCTGGGGGTGCTGCAGGGGGTGCGGGCAGAGGCCGTGTCCTCTGTGGGCTCAGGGGTGGACTGGTGGCTCACGTGACCAAAACAAACCCTGTAGAAAAGGGTTTGAGAGAGAATCAGTCTTATTCTGGCCTAGTGCAGAGATTCTTGTTAGACTTAAAATGAGGGGTTGACAGCTAGCACTGTGAATCAGTCCATGTCTCTTTCTTTCTTCCCTCCTTTTTCCCTTGTCATCTCAGCACTGGGAAATTTGGTGCCTGCTTTATACCAGGACTCTGTAAGCAAAGCGATCTAACTTTGTACGCATCCCGGCCTGGGCTCCGGCTGTGGAAGGCTGACATCCATGGGACTGTCCAGGCCACGTTTATCTTAAAAGACGTCTTCGCCGGAGGAGTCAAGCCTTTCGAGCTTTATCCACGCCTGGACTCTGCCGCGCGGGGAGGGTGCAGCTCGCCTGAGAAGCACTTGGGGCTCGTGTCGTGTTTCTTCCAAGAAGGTTGGGTGTTGAGTTGGAATGAATACAGTATTTACCTTCTGGACACTGTCAACCAGGTGAGCCAAGTGATGGTGGCGCAGCTTGGTGTCTAGAGGCAGGAGGGTGTGTGTAAACCTCTGCCTCCCCTCTTCTCAGAGGGTGGGACAGTGTGGGTCCCGCGCGCTGCCTTTCCCAGTGAGCTAGTCACGGAAACCAGGTGAAGGTTTGGTGGTTTTTGTAGATTTGAAAAAATATTTGGTTTAAATATTCGTAGTCCTGTCCCCTGCTAAGAAAGTGTGTGTGTGTTATTTAAGCAGAAAAGTAAATTTGTTCTTTATTTCTTTGGATCATGTGTTTTATGGCTACCAAATTACCGTGAGCGTAATGAAATGAGATCAGACCTCACACATAACAAAGAGTGAGACAGGGACTCGGTGCCCAAGGTCTCCCCAGGGTGCGGCTGAGCATGCAGAGCCTCTGGCTTTCTCCCTCTTGTGCCTTGTTTCTCCTCCCAAGTGGAGCCACTTCGTTCTGCCATTTCCCCGACTTTACTTGATGATGTGTTTGGACAGCTTACCAGCATTATCAAATCATGGTTGGAAACAATTTCTGTTTAAAGTAGGGTGATGAGATTATTGCCAATAGAGATTGCTTTAGGAATTTTTTTTTTAAAAAGAAACTGTTCAGTTTCAGTGTATTCTTTGTTTTAAAATTTTATTTGTAGCTGCACTAAGTCTTTGTTGCGACATGGGGCACGGTGGCTTGGGGAATCGCCAAAGTGCCTTTTAGCCCTGAGTTTCTCTTCTTAGGGAACATTTTGAAAGACATTTTTGTATTCTTTGCCAGGTCCAGAGAACACAGCTTTTCTTTTTTCTTTGGGTACTGTTTGAACATAATGTGTACTTACTAGTTGGTGGGGTCAGTGTATTCTATAACTGTACATGAGTTTCTCTCTTCTGAACACTTACCCAAAGCCTTCCCCAGTAGGTGTAATTAACTTCATCTTGTAGGTGGAGAAGTGGAGCCAGAGAGGCGGGTCATGCACAGTCTGAACGTGACAGCGCGATTGGAAGCTTTCAGACGCTGCCAGGATTAGTTAGGGATCATCAAAGGACTTGTGCCCGCTTTCTCCTCTGCCTTGAGCTACTCTCCTGTTTGCTGTTGAGTGAGAAGCAAGAATGTTTTTCAATCAGTGAGGGCTCAGGGTTGTCCTGTGTTTGGGGTGCTGTTGGCTTTCCGATGGCGTTGGGGGAGTCCTGTCTCCCTCCTCATTCATTCACAACTGCGACTCACAGTACCTGCCCGGCCTCTGCCGCAGGAATCCACACGGTATGCGCCCTAGACCTGCCAGCCTAGGAGGGCCAGGCCGGGCAGGGCTTTGTGTAAAGGGCTGTGAGCTCTGAGAGTCCTGGGCCTTGCTGAGGAGGGCCCGCTTGTCAGGGACACTTCCCAAGGAGGGGGCGTCTGAATCGAGCTGAAAGTCCCCGTGAGCAGGGCCAGGGAGAGAATCCGAGTGGAGGGCATGGCATCAGGAGGGTCAGGGCCAGGTTCCGGGGTGGCCAGTGGGTGCGCCTGCGGCAGGGCGGGCAGGGAGCGACTTCAGGCTCAGTCCTGGAAAGGTCCTGACGGGTACTCAGTCACCATCTGTTGGGTATTACCTCACTTTGGGTTGAATTACTCCAAGTTTCAGAAGTCATGATAGCAAGCAGCAGCTATTTGACTTCTTTGGATTCCAACACATGCTTGTACGGTTTGAGCTATTACTATTGCCTGGTTTTGTGATTTTCTTTTTCTGGACAGGCCACCATTGCTGGTTTGGAAGGATCAGGTGATATTGTGTCTGTTTCCTGCACAGAAAATGAAATATTTTTCTTAAAGGGAGACAGGAACATTATACGAATTTCCAGCAGGCCTGAAGGACTAGCATCAATAGGTTTGTATTTGTTATAAAATGTATTTGTTACAAAACTTTGTTATAAAATATATGTAATTAAAGTTTATAATGTAGAAAACTTACCACTTTTATTTTCATTAAGTGATTCTAACTTTATCTAAGGAGCTATTCAGAGGGTATCCTTTGATTCTTAAAAAACAGTTTATGCTACTTTTCTTGAAAACCACTTACTTTCAGTCCAGGTCTTACATTTGCTGGAATTGTTTCTGTGGGTCTGGAGGGTGGGGGGGTTGGGTGAGTAGGAAGGGGAGCTCAGCTCCCACCCTAGTAATCTCCATCTGATGCTCTGAGCCAGCCTGTGGGGTCGATGCATAAGGTTTTTGAACATTGAAGTCTGTCACCTAGGACACATGTTTTTACCTTTAATAATAAGAGCACATCATCTTTCCCTCTGATAACCACAGTTAAATCAGCTTCTTTACCGGTGCGGGACGGTCTGGAGACATCGGTGTGCTCAGAGCAAGTCCATGGGCCGCGTGCAGAGAAGCTGCCGGCGGCCATGCCTTCCGAGACGAGGCTCCGCGGCGCTTCGGTGGCCAGCTCCGTGGCCAGCGAGCCCAGGAGCAGGAGCAGCTCGCTCAATTCCACGGACAGTAGCTCCGGGCCTCAGACAGCCCCCGAGCTGGGCAGGGGTGGCCCGCTCACCTCGAACAGGTTCAGCGTGATAAGCTCGGAGGACTTCGACCAGGAGCTCGTGGTGAAGCCTCTCAGGGTGAAAAAGAAGAAGAGGACGAAGAAGACAGGTACCGTCCGCAGCAGAGCGCGAGGGGCCTCCCCCCCGCCGCCAGGGGCCTCTCACCAGACTTGGGAGGGGGCGGGGGGGGGGGCACTGAGGGAACAGGCAGCGGTGTCTGTCCTCCTCAGAGGAGTTTCCCTGTGAAATCTTTATCTGTATTTAACACAAAGCAGTGAACAGTGATGCAGCTCACCAGCCCTGCTTACAGGTCTGGGTATTGTACTTTTCAATACTTCAGTTAAAAATTTGGTTTATTCATGTATATCATCTATTAGACCAGAGAGTGATGAACTTGGAAGGAAAGCTATGGAAATCTTCAGATGCATCAGTTAATGTTTAGTGTTGGGTATGTCATCAGATACGGGATTTTTTTTTTTTTTTTTTTGGCCGTGCTGTGGTGCTTGTGAGATCTTAGTTCCCCAACCAAGAGATGAATCCAGGCCCTTGGCAGTGAACTCGCAGAGTCCTAACCGCTAAATTGCCAGGGAAGTCCCCAGATAGGGGTTTTTTTTAGAATTAATTAGTTTTGGCTGCACTGGGTCTTTGTTGCCGCACCCAGGCTTTCAAGTGGCAGTGAGTGGGGGTTGTGCTGCACGGGCTGCTGCTTGCAGGGGCTTCTCGTCGAGGCTCGCAGGCTCCAGAACTTGGCCTTCGGTCATTGTGGCTCATGGGCTTAGTTGCCTGGTGGCGCGTGGGATCTTCCCGGACCAGGAATCAAACCCACAACCCCAGCTTTGGTAGGTGGATTCTTAACCACTGCCACAGGGAAGTCCTGGATGTGGGGTTTAACATGGAATTTTCTTGGCTTATTACTCCTTGGTGCCGACTGAGCCTCTCTACTAAAGATTGCTGCAGTATTGAAGGAAAATATTATCAGATGCCTTAATATCTTAATAACTTTAAAAAATTGTTCTGTGATCCCTTTGTTCCTTTGTTCTTGCTTAGTTAACATTTATTGAAGGAAGCCTCAGAGCCCATCATGTGTACAGTATTTGCATCCATTTAAAACACCTCTGAATTGGGACAGTTTGTACTTGAGAGATTTATTCGTCAACAATTACAGCTCCTTCATTTAAGATGTTTTTTTCTTAAGCCAAGTTTTTGTTTTTTAGTTCGCGTCTTGCCCCTTGTGTGGAGTCCTACCTAATCTTAACCGTTCTTGTTTCAAGTAGAAGGTGGAAGCAGCACCGCGGGCCCCAGCTCCCTTGAGTCGACCCCCGGCTGTGAGTTTCCTGGGGACAGCCCCCAGTCCGTGAGCATGGACCTGCCATCCATGGCCTCCAGCTTGGGCAGCGTCATGGACCGGTCCAGCACAGGGTCTCCTGACCAGGAGAGCAGTCTCAGCGGGGAGGCCACTGGTGTGCTGCCAGAGTTTAGCGACTCCGAGGCATTCAGTGTCCTGGAGGTGCCCCTGCCTGCCCCTGACCTGCTGAACCGAGGCGGTGACGGGAGAGCTGAAATCCCCTTGGGCGACGGCGAGGGCGGGACAGAGCCGCCCGCTGGGGCGGTGAGCTCTTCCTGGCGCCTGCCGGAGCACATGGAGAACTCTGAGGACGTCGTGGAGCTGGAGGAGGAGCCTCATCCTGCAGACGGTGGGCCGGGTGCTGCGGCGGAGGCCCGAGGGGAGGGGGCCGTGCAGCCTGATGGCCTCCCGGGCGCTTTCTCAGAACCCTGCATCCTGGACTCGGCACCGGTGCCTTCCCACCTCAGCTGGGCCCTCAGTGCAGAGCAGCAGCTTCCGGGGGCCACGGCTGACGAAGGCAGAGCTGAGGAACCTCCTGAAGAGCAGGGCTTCCCGACGCACGTGGGAGCCCCCCACCACCTCAGCCTGAGTCCCCGGCACGCTGCTCCTGACGCTGACACGGGCCAGACGGCGGTTGTCACTTCCGAGCATGACCTGGGCGGGGGCGGCCAGCCGCCTCCCTGGGCCTCGGCCTCAGCAGCCGGAGCCCAGGAGCAGCCCCCGCGGGACCAGGCGCTGACCTCCAGCGACGAGGAGGACATCTATGGCCATGGGCTGCCCTCTTCATCCTCGGAGACGAGTGTGACGGAGCTGGGAGGGGACCGCTCCCTGCAGGACCTGAGGCAGCTGGGCACAGACGACCCTGGGCTGCTCAAGGCCGACCAGGTACAAGGGCTCCTTGAGGGAAGTCACGGGCTAACTGACGCTGGGAGGGGGTGAGGCTCCACTGTCAACCCTGTGAGCCAGGTGTCGGGAGGCCCAGATTTGGGGGGCCTTCCAGCACAGGGATCTGAAATGGCTTGGGCTCCTGCTGACCTGTCGTTCCCAACCAGTGGCCGACAGGCGCGGCCTCTCACATCGATTCTGACCCGGGAGGGCGGCCCCGCGTGGGCACCTCCAGCTCATCGTCCCGGAGAGCAGCTGGGCGGGCCTGGGGCCACTCCAGGAGCCCCGTGGGCAGGGGCCTGGCCCCTCGTGGAGGAGGAGGCGCGGAGCAGGCTGGAGGCCGGGACTCCCCGCCCGCCTCTCCTCAGACACACATCTGTGACTCAGCGTCGGTGCCAAGGCATGACGGGTATAGAAGGGAGCTTCTCCCTACAGGACCCGAGGCGGCCGGGCACGGACAGCCCTGGGCTCCAGGCGCAAGAGCGTCAGTCGTCTGGGTCCCCGGGCTCCAGGGCACAGGCTCAGTAGTTGTGCCGCATGGGCTTAGTTGTTCCTTGGACGTGGGATCTTCCCGGGTCAGGGATCAAACCCATGTCTCCTGCACTGGCAGGCGGATTCTTTACAGGGAAGCCCAGCCAGTAATTATCATTAGACGTGTTTGGTTTCAGCGCTGTGTATTGTCACTCTTCTTGCTGTGTGGCCGTAAGGTGTGGCCTGTGCAGGTGAACTTACAGCCTTCCCCGGACGCCTCTGGAACCTCTGTCCCACCGAGGCACCGCGTTGGGGCAGCACTCACGGGGGCCAGGGGCCACATTCCACACTTTACAAGTTCAACTCGTTTACTTCTCTGAAAACAAAACCCACGAGCTAGGTGCTCCCATTTCACAGGAGGAAGTGGAGACTCAAACACTTCGTGCGGGCTTTATCGGGTCAGGTAGCAAGTGGGGCCACAGTGGCTCCAGGGTCCCCTCTCTCAGACTTGGGTGCTGTCTGTCCTGCCTCGAAAGCAAAACATCCTGCTTACTTGGTTTAAGACAAAGTGCCTTTTCCCTTAGGTTTCTGTGTGTTCACCCTTTCTTGAATGCCTTCAGCTGCCAAGGTCTGTGTCTGGCGCTGGGACGCTGCAGTGCCTGTGACGGGCAGTCCTAGGTGTCACAGTCAGGGAGGAGCCAGCCAGTCTGCGGGTCCTCCCAGCTGAGCAGGACTCGGGCCCAGCTGAGCAGGACTCGTCCCAGCTGAGCAGGATCGGTCCCAGCTGAGCAGGATCGGTCCCAGCTGAGCAGGACTCGGTCCCTGCTGAGCAGGATTGGTCCCAGCTGAGCAGGACTCGGTCCCAGCTGAGCAGGATCGGGTGCTGGTGATGAGCGCAGGGCGGGAGGGGCTGGCGACAGGGCCCCCACCAGCCCTGGCATTAGCCAGGCGGCTCTGGCCTGCGCGGTTGGGCTTCTTGGGCAGAACTTTAGAAAGTCCTCGGTGAGAGGGCCCCTGGCACTGTGAGGACCTCACCTGCCTTCACCCAACTCGGCCACCTGGAAAGCCACATTTTGGTGGGTTTTGAGGGAGTAGATAAGGCGTGCCCTGGGGAGCAGGGGCAGCTGACAAGCATTGGGCATCACGCTCTGCAAAGCAGCAAATGTCCTTGTGTGGGTGATTGTGCAAATACATGCGTTTCTTTTGCAGTTTTAGAAAGGTCTTAAAGTACACACTTTATTTAGCTTTGCCTTCTGAAAGACTCCTAGCAGCTGAACCGTAGCCTCCAAAATTCAGTGAGGCAGTGTCCTGGCCAGATGTCTGTCAGCCACAGGGTGGACCGCCCGTTTGGTGACTGCCACAGAACTTTAAAACAGTATCATGAGAAAACAAAGATAGTGGTAGTGCTATTTCTCCTGTAATGATTAGATGTACAAAAAACCAGTCTGCATACAAGTGTGAAGTGAGGCATACCTGTAGAATAATAATGTGAACTCTGGGTTAGGGAAGAGGTTATAGTATCTACGAAAAAGTGTTTATCCAGGGATGTTGTGGGGTCTTTGCAGGGGACAGCAGCTCCCATCTCACAGTGTTTCTGTTAGAGCTGGTCCAGAGACGGCGGGGCCGGTTTTCGCATGGCTGCTCAGAGGGCCTCTCACAGACACACACACACAGGCACACGTACACAGCCCTTTCAGCTCCACAACTTTAATGCTGGCGCATTTTTCGTATTGCCAAGTGTGGGGCATGTGCAGCTGTGTCTTCTGTTGCCAAGTCAGCAGGCTCTGTCCTTGTCAGTTTGCAGAAAGCTGGATGGGCTACTCCGGGCCCGGCCACGGCATTCTCAGCTTGGCGGTCTCTGAGAAGTACCTCTGGTGCCTGGACTACAAAGGCGGCCTGTTCTGCAGCGCGTTGCCAGGCGCTGGGCTGCGCTGGCAGAAGTTCGAAGATGCCGTCCAGCAGGTGGCAGTCTCGCCCTCAGGTTCGCCCCTGGCTCCCTGCGCCCGGCCCCCTCCCCGCCCCACACAGCCCGCCGAGCACTCTGTCCAAGCAGACCTGGCCTTTCCTGCAGGTTTTAGGGCTTTTCTCCATGGGACGTGGGCTGCTTCATTTGACATCACTGAAGATTGTGTAAATGCCGTTCAATTTTTAGTTTTTTTTTTTTATTAATTGCAGTGGTAACACATGAACATACTCTTGTTAAGTTATACAAATAGCTTGAATTTTGAGGGTATTTTTTAAAGAAATACTAACGTACACACTTCACATAAGAATAAATGTGTTTCTGTTTCTTAGTGTTGCTTTAAAGCAACTGAACTAATGAAGATGGGCCCATGGATGTGTTGGATAAATTTGAAACATTCGGTTTCTTTCTTAGAAATTGTTTTTTAATGAGCTACACACATCTTTGGGTGAACAAGCTACTCCTGGGCTTTGAAAATAAAATGTGTTCAGTCCTTTAAGCCGTGATCAGGCCGTTGTTGTCAGTGGTCTGGGACAGACACTTCCTGGGTGAGGGTCTACCCCTGCCCCCATCTGTACAGAATCTCGTGTTTGTCATAATGTTGGCTGCTCTACCTATATAGGGAGGGAGGTAGAACAAAAGTATGTATGTGTATTTGCCTGGTTGTAGCTGGTTTGTTAGAACATCAGAAAGGAAGGCAGACAAGACTGAGCCTGTGACTTCTGTTAGAGACTCCCTCCAACTCTCCTGGCCTTTGTCGCCATGTAAAATACTAGTTTGTTCAGGGTTGTTTTGTTCTATCTTTTGCTTGTTTGAAAAGTATCTTTCCTTAGGGACTAAGATAATCTGTTCCATTAGCTGGCTTTATATAATTGTGCAGTTTAACGCTTTCCCTCTCATTTACCTTTGGGTTCATCTCCCCAGCCAGTTATAAACTTTGGTTCTTTGCTGATTCTGTGAATTACTTTGTGTCTCCACACCATTCAGTCCCTCACCGCTCCAGTGGGAGCTCTGTCTCCACCAGGCTGTGCTCTGGCTGAGCTATCCTGCAGGGCCCCGACCAGGGTGGGCTCTCCTCCACCCGCGCCTCGCGTCGGACCCTCTGTCCAGCCTGTGTGCTCTTGGTGATGCTGGTGGTTTCTGACACCTTGCCTCAGTCTCCATAGACAGGCTTCCTGTCTGCCTTCCCTCCTGCCCTCCCTGTCTTCTGTTTAGTAGAAGCCTTCTCTAAGTGGAGAAGGGGACAGCCCAGCTCAGGGCGTCCTTTTCCTGCACCGTGTCCCCTTCGCTGGCCCAGAGCTCCCCCTGCCCCTTGGAGTCCCGTCGGGCGTTCTCTTTCTTAGGACACTCACTGTGCCTCAGGACGGCCATCCGCGTCCTCACCCGGCACACCAGTGGCGCCGCTCCTCTCCCACGCGGTGCGGGCCCCTGACGCCCGCCCTGTGTGCTGTGTCCTTGAGGCAGCTCCCCTCCTGACGGCCTGCGTGGTGCCGGCAGTCCCCTCCCACACATGAGGAGGCGGCTGAGGGGGCCCAGGGCCCGGGGGCTCGCGCCCCAGCACTGCCCTTCCCCGGCTGGCATAGCAGCAAAGGGGGCATGCTGGAGAAATCGCTTGCCCGCAGCACCCAGAAGCGAGTGTAGCGGGTAAGAATTCTCGGCCTTCATTGGCCCGTGAATAGAATTTTTATTTCCACAGGCGCCCTTCTTTGGAAGATTGAACAGAAGTCTAACCGAGCCTTTGCGTGCGGAAAAGTGACCATCAAGGGGAAACGCCACTGGTACGAAGCTCTGCCCCAGGCGGTGTTTGTGGCCCTGAGCGATGACACGGCCTGGATCATCAGGACCAACGGGGACCTGTACCTGCAGACAGGTGGCTGCCCCGGGGTGACTGCACTTTGGTGGCGATGTGCTTAGAGGCGGTGACGGAGGGGCTAGATGCAAATCTAAGTTAAAACGTTTCCGGAACATTTGTCATAAGTTTAACATTAGATGCCAACATTTAACATGAGTTAAAACACTTGCCATCGGGATCTATCAGCAGCTTTCTACTACTCACTCACTTTCACCCAGGACACATTTATGGCAGGAATTAAAAATTATTTAGAATCTTATAGGGCTAACCGTTGCCTGTCCCTTTTCCTGTGGTATCAAATCTGAAGAGGAAAGAGTAACAATCATTTTTCGCTTTAACTCATGACTGAGTTTTTTCAGTCCGGTCAAAGCCCTGCTTCCATATCCTTATTTACACATGGGTCAGGAAAAAACAACAGAAATAATCTGCTCCAAATAGCAGTTTATCTCGTCCTAGGAAACTGCCCTGAGGGGAACCTTTAGCTACTGGAAGAGACTCAGTGGGACTTGTTTATTAAAAATAAACTGTAATGAGAGTCACTGTTTATGTACTGTCAGCAAAATGGGATACGGGTTTCCAAAAGCAACATGATTTAGCAGTACCTGGAAATGAGTACAGGGCAGGAGCTCTTTTTCGGTTGTCAAGAGGCCCTGTTGGGTTTGCGTAAAGATGAGTCTTTTGACCATTTAATACTGCTGCCTCCGAAAGGATGTTTCCGTCTCTGTTGGGAACGGTCAGCCAGGGACAGTTCTGGGACTGGAAGCCCTTTGCACCTGGCTCGCTCTCAGGTGTGGAGGTGCCAGCCTAACAGCAGCTCCTGCCTCAGCCCAGGGGCAGCCCTGCCAGCTTCGGGCCTGTGTGCCCGCCAGTCTCTCCAGCCTGTTCCTGTGGCTTCCTTGAAAGTGAAAAATAGTGGGAAGACAGGCACGTCCAACTTCCAGAGGCATCTGAATATCTTTCCTGCTGGGGAAAGAGGGCGCTTTGGCCTCGGGGTGAGGAGGGCCTTAGGAATCACCTGGGCAGTGATTTCAGCCCAACTGAGACCCATCCAGAGCTACCAGGTTAGAGTCTCTGGGTTTGGCCTAAGGATTAGTGGTGTAAGAAGTCCGGTAGGTGATTCCCACCGCATTGAGTCCAAGGAAATGCAGCCCAAGGACTATGATACCGAGGGGACTTTAGTGATGAGTAGGGACACGTCAGGGAGTGCGGAGGCCCAGCTGCAGGCCAAGGCGGCAGGTACAGGGTTCGGTAGCAGCTTCTCTGCGCCCCCTTAGGAGTGGCCTCGGAGCTCATTAGATAGGACTTGCAGAGTCTCCGAGGGCCGTGGCCACCGAGTGTGGAGGGCGTCTCTGTGCACCGGCTCCTCTGGGCCTGGGCCCTCCTGGCGCGGGTCTGGCTGCTCTCCTGCACTGGACTTTGTGTTCTTTCAGAACTTGTTTAGCTACCTGGGGACACTAGAAGGTCCTGAGTTGTTATTCCAGTTTCCAAAGAACATCCAAACACACTTCAGGTGGACGTTATATTTAAGCACAATTTAACCATCTTATGTTGACTAAACCTTAAAAAGAGAAAATACGAAAGGAAAGGATATAACAATGCCAAAAAAGAAAAATAAGCCAGCAACAGGATGAGAATGGGGAGTGAAATCCTGACAGTGTGTCTCTGGGGGCTTTCCGCCGTCCCCGGCAGGTCTCAGCGTGGATCGCCCCTGCGCCAGAGCCATGAAGGTCGACTGTCCGTTCCCGCTGTCCCAAGTCACTGCCCGCAACAGTGTGGTGTGGGCGCTGACGGAGCAGCGAGCCCTCCTGTACCGGGAGGGGGTGAGCAGCTTCTGCCCCGAGGGGGAGCAGTGGAAGTGTGACATCGTCAGGTATGCGCGCAGGGCGGCCGCTGTCCGTGTCCTCTCTGCACCGTCTGCTCTCTGTCAGCCTGACGCCCCTCAAGGGACCCGTGTGAGCCTCTCCCAGGCAGAGCTGCTTCCCTGAAGGTTTCCAAGGTCGCGGTGTCCTCCAGGATTGTCAGAGTCAACACCAGCAGCCTGGCCTTGAAGGCATTCTGTGCCTCCCTCTCACTGGCAGACTGAATGTTGGATCAGAGCTTAGTTTTTAAAATGCTGCTTCCCTTGACCAACATTCATCTGTGACCTTGAGCCCCACATGCTCACAGGTCTCTTGTGATGGTTTTTCTGCAGAACTGCCCAGAGTCAGAAAGTTTCTGTTTAGAGTCTCAGATGACTGAGCCAAATATTTTCCTTTATTATCCTCCTTGTCAGTTGAAATTACCCATGAATTACAGTTTATTTGGTTGCTTTCTACCAGTCAAACTTTTGATTGCACAATTACTGTCAGGTCATTTTTCTAGTGTGAGGTTATTAGTAGTCCTTAGAAAAGTTAGATTAGGATATTCATGGTTTGAGTTTAGCACCCCAGGAAACTTGAGTGAGCTCCTGTTGAGAGCTGGGGGCGGGGCTGGGCTGAGCGTGTGAACATGACCCTGCCCTGGCCTCAGAGCTCCTGTCTGGGGGAACCACCGCCTGTTGGTGTAGACGGTCCCGAGCCGGACAGGGACATGCCTCACGGGGGCACCCCGGCCCCCCTGCAGAGGTCAGGGAGGCGCCAGGCAGCTCAGCCCTGAAGCTGCCGGGGACGTCACCAGATGGCAGAGGGAGGGTGTTGTCCGCCGAGAGGGCGGGTCTGCCAGGCTGCTGCTGCTGCCCCGCACAGCCTGGCGCTGGGGGGTTTCTGTTCACTTAATTGGTGGAGGCAGGGGTGGGGCGATGGAGCACGCAGGTCCAGCATCCCCCACACGCCTGCGCTTCTTCCTGGGTTGTCTCCTCTAAGGAGAGCTCCCCACCGTCCTGGGCCTGCAGGGTGCCCCTCAGGTCCCACTGCTTGTCTGAACGGTACATACTGCACAGCCATTGAACTCAAGCTTTCTTCCTTGGAACTGGCGGGTGGGGCTCATCTCTTGTCCCACACCGAGCCCCCCTTCTCCGACACTTGATGTCAGTGTCCCAGACACACTGGGGGGCCAAGAACCTGGGTGTTGACTCCATGCTCTCGTTTCCAGTGAGAGGCAGGCTTTGGAGCCCGTCTGTATAACTCTCGGGGACCAGCAGAGCCTGTGGGCCCTGGACATCCGAGGAAACCTGTGGTTCCGGACTGGCATCGTTTCCAAGAAACCCCAAGGAGATGACGACCACTGGTGGCAAGTAGGTGTTCAGCCCGGGGCCGTGCGAGGCGCCTCCCACTTAGCACCCCGCCCTTCTCCTCAGGGGCTTGGAGAGCTCGGGTTAAACCCGCAGTGCTCACTTCTACTGTTGGATGAGCTGTGCGTGCTCAGTCGTGTCTGACTCTTTGCGACCCTGTGAACTCCATGAAATTTTCCAGGCAAGAATGCTGGAGTCAGTTTCCATTTCCTTCTCCAGGGGATCTTCCTGACCCAGGGATCAAACCCACATCTCCTGCTTGCAGGCAGATTCTTTACCCCTGAGTCACCATTAGAGCACATTAGGAGTATCGGGGCTTTTATCGCAGAAAGTAACTTGGAATGCTCTTTTTGCCTAAATATGCTGGCTTTGTTTATTTATTTTAATTTTGGTGTTATTTAGAAATTTGATATTACACGCTAAATAAAACCTAGTGACATCCATCTGAAGACCTAGGTAATACTAATATTTTTCTCTGAAAGAATGTATTAAGAAAAGAGATTAGATAATAGGTGTGAGAAAACCAATCCACAATTAAAACTCACTATCTCTGCTTGTACAGAAGGCCTGTAAATAAATGGTATTTGAACAAAGAAAAGGGGAATTTTCCCAGAAAAGTAAACACTGACAAATAGTGTGGTATAATCAAGCTCTCTCTGCCCCTCTGGCAGCAGTCAGCATAGACGTGTCGCCTGCAGTCCCCAGCATGGTGGGCGGAGCCGCGTTCATGCCGTGGGGCGTGCAGGGGATCTTCCTGCGCGGGCCCCGCTGGCTCAGGTGCCGTCCCGCAGGCCAGCGTCGTCGAGGGCAGGTCTTCCCGTGGCTGCTTTTAGGTCTTTCAGATGAGCGTGTGGAAGAGGAAGTTGTGTTTGGTCTCCACCTCTAATTTAATATGTCAGGTGCTATTTGAAAAGTTATACAAATGATTCAAAAATACTCTGTGTATTTGTAACCATATTACATGGTTTTACACACACACACAGTGTATACATGTACTAAATTCTGTGTTTAAGTAGCCTAAAGAAAGCTAGATACCATTTTATCATAGTATTCAGAACATTATCTTCAGAGAAATTTGACAGAGTCATTGCTAGGATATTTGGAAGCAGAGCTGTTTTAGTTACTATAGGATTGATTGTTCTGTAGGGCTCGAGTCAGTGTTATGTTTGGCCATTAAACTGTTCTTTTCTTTTTTTTTTAACTTGCATCCTACTTATCGGCCAAGCCTGGTGCTGGGACTGAATGTGTCCCAGGCTTTCCGTGTGGCCTGGCGCCATACCCCATGAGGAAGGGCAGTGGTCCCCGGGCTGTGCCTGGCCTCCTGTGGGCTCTGGCAGAGTCTGCCCGGCTAAGCTGGCATGCGCTCTGCCCATTAGAGAGAAAGAGGCCACAGGCTCTGCAGCTAACAAACACCATTTGCTTGAACCTTGGTGCAAACAGCAACTCGCAGTCAGCCTGAGTTCCATCACCGTGAGGAAGAGCTGTGTATACACACACAGTGCAGTGCTGATTTTATAGCTGCTTCCGTTGCATTTGTTTTGTTTATTACACTTGAGATTCCCTGTCAGGAGTGATTTCACGTCACTCAGCATTTTGTTGTGCGTGACCTGGGAGTGTGGCCTGCACGAGGCCGTCCTAAGAGTGGGGCCGTGACGTCTGTAATTAAGTCCACCAGGGCAGACAGACTCGGGAAGCCGCGCACTCAGAGAGCTGTCCAGCAGCCGGAGCTGCCCAGCCAGGAGGGGTTTCCTTAGACGGTGGAGCAAGGCCTCTTTCAGGAAAGTGCGAGGAGCGCGTCTGGAGCCTGAGCCCAGGTGTGCCCTGCACGTCCAGGACAGGCCTAGTCTGTGCTGCAGTTCCGGCATGGTCACCAACAGTGCCAGCGAGGTCAGGGCCTCCCTGGTGCCTCAGACGGCGAAGCGTCTGCCTGCAGAGCGGGAGACGGGTTTGGTCCCCGGGTCGGAAGGACCCCTGGAGAGGCGTGGCTTCCCACCCCAGTATCTTTTTTGATTGTGCTGGTCTTCATTGCTGCACTGGCTTTTCTCTCGTTGCAGAAAACAGGCTTCTCATTGCAGTGGCTTCTCTTGCTGTGGAGCGCAGGCTCTCGGTACACAGGCCTCAGTAGTCGCGGCTCCTGGGCTCTAGAGCACGGGCTCGGGGGTTGTGGCGCATGGGCCTAGTTGGCTCTGAGGCACGCGGCTTCTTCCCGGATCAGGGCTCAAAGCCACGCTTCCTGCGTTGGGAGGCCGATTCTTTACCACTGAGCCGCCGGGGGAGCCCCCACGCCAGTGTTCTTGCTTGAGGAATCCCGTTCACAGAGGAGCCTGGCGGGCTGCAGTCCGTGGGGTTGCAGAGCCAAACACAACTGAGCGGCTGACACGCTTACGTCCTTGTTAGGTCATGAATCATCCGTCACTCTGCCTCCACTACCCTTTTAAAAACCATGTTATGATTCTAAGTATTGTACCGGTTGTCCTTTGGAAATTTAAAACAAAATAATCCTGTCTCACCGATTTAGAATAAAAGACTTATGGGGTGCGGCGGGGTGATATTTAGTCATAAAAGGAATACACGCTTGTAAGAGGTGCATGCGGTAGAAAAGTATGTAAACTACAAGGCAGATGTTGGCATCCCCCTGAGTTGACCCCTTGGAGGTAGTCGCAGTCAGCAGCGGGGCTGTCCCCACACCTGACCCCAGTCCTCACCCAAGCGCAAGTGGCGGTGGGGGCGGGGCCTTGGCTCTCAGGCCGCGAGCATACAGGAGGCGCTTGTGACTGCACTGAGAGCGGGGCGCCTCCCCGTCCCCCTCCAGGTGAGCATCACGGACTACGTGGTGTTCGACCAGTGCAGCCTGTTCCAGACCATCATCCACGCCACGCACTCGGTGGCCACAGCGGCCCAGGTGCCCGTGGAGAAGGTGGCGGACAGACTCCGCACAGCCTTCTGGTCGCAGCAGCTGCAGTGCCAGCCGAGCCTGCTGGGCGTCAACAACAGCGGCGTCTGGATCTCCTCGGGCAAGAACGAATTCCACGTCGCTCGAGGGAATCTCATCGGTGGGTGAATTACTTCCAAGTCAGCTTGATGGGCAGCTCCACTTAGAGTCAGCATTTAAAGCTCAGCTTAAAGATCTCCACTTGAAAAGACCATTCAGGCCAGTGGTATGCAGTGTGTGTGATGGAGGCATTCTCTATGCTCTATCAGTGTCCTTTTTTTCGTCTGTCATTCCTACAACTTGGATACATGTGTCTACCTGGTATGTCATCAGTTTCCACTAGGGATGTTGCAGGATATAAGGAGAGCACATGGAGCTTGTTTTTATGTCAGTAATTTCCACTTAAATGAAAAAATCCTCTCATACTTAGAGTCTAGTGAGAGAAGAGTCTGTTTCTAAGAGGGAAAATTATTGCACCATGGAAGATGTGAGGCTCTGGCCAGATCTGTAGACAGAGGCATAAATGCTCACGTGCCGCCTGGGGCTTCGTTTCTGTGAGTGAACCCTGCTCGGCGGGTCTCCTCCAGCTCGTCTCCCCCGGGTGGCCTCCCCCCACCCTGGGCAGGACTGCAGCTCTGCCCATTGGGCTGGCTCTCGCAGTGCCAGCTTGGATCGCCAACGTTAAGGGCCCTCCAGAACCAGCTGTGAGGGGTTTTGAAGACCAGTTGAGGCCTAGCACTGAAGTTCTGAAGCGTTCTGAAGTTCCTCTTTCTTTAACACACTCTTCCCTTATTCTTCCCAGGCACTTACTGGAATCATGTTGTTCCCCGGGGGACCGCCTCTGCCACAAAGTGGGCCTTCGTGTTGGCGTCCACTGCCCCCACCAAGGAAGGTGGGTTGGGGTGCCATTGAATGGTTACATCCATGGTCTGACGTGGCCGAGTTGGGGTGGGAGCCTGGCCATGATGGTGTCATGGGCGAGGGCCCCCGAAGCTGGACAGGAGAGAAGGGCCTGGTGTGGGGTGCTGAGGAAGTCTGGAGGCGAGGCTCCTTCTGAAGGCCGGGCGCGTCCAGTGTGGCTGCGGAGGCTGGCAGCTGGTACTGCCGCAGCATGTCTCGGGGCCATAGCACAGGCCAGTCAGCACCAGGCTTGTCCGGGTGCCAGGCCGTCTCCCCTGTGATCCTGGTTTACGGCGCCTGCTGGCCTCAGTCCCACCGTCCCCCTGGCAGGCAGGACTCCTGAATCCACTCAGAACTCAGAGCCCCTCCTGCAGTTCAGGGCAGTCAGGTGGCCCTGCTGGCGGCCGAAGCATCCGCCCAGGATGGTGCCGAGCCCAGCGAGACGACGCCGTGAGTCTGTGGTTCAGAGGGAGTGGCTGGCGAAGTCCAGCCTGTAGCCGCCAGAACGTCAAGGATTCGGTCAGTGCAGCAAGTCTTCCCTCGGGACGGTCTGACCATGGTGCCGAGGGAGAGAGCTCTGACCACCACAGGCGTCCTGAATGCAGCCGCGAAGCTGAGCTGAGCTGACGGGAGACCCCTCCCGCCCTCATCCGTCCTGCGGGTCGTGACCGGGACACTGCATTGTAGAAGGCTCACTGCACTGCCTGGGTTGGGGGTGGCGGGGTGGGGGGGTTACCAACTGACTCCTCGGGGCTGTTACTTAAATATCTGGCATGGCCATGACCTTATGGTTTCAAAATCCAAAAAAAATTTAATTTCAAACTGTACCTGGCCCCAGGTTTTAAATAATATATTCTGACTGAGATTTAAAAACTTTCTCAAGTGTGGTTTGCATTTTAAAGTGAGTTAAACCTCAAGGACTCTAAATAATCGGAGAGAATGAAAGCATGTAATTTGGGGGTGAGGAAGGGGAGAAGATGCTTCCTGGCATTCTGGGCCTCCTCCAGCAGCCTCACCCCACCACCCACCTGTCACCCGGGCAGAGGCTCCTCAGTGGCGTACTGCCAAGGAGTCGCCAAGCTTGCTTCCTCGGGACCCTGGCCAACACACCATGTTGAAGGCTTCCCGGTTCATTATGGAACATCCAAGCTCTGGGCCACTAAGCCAGTGACGTGGGCTTCTGAGATCTGATTTCTTTTGTTTCTTCTGAGTGTGTCGGGCTGGCTTCCTGGTCACTGGCCACTCCTGCCCCGCGGAGGGGAGCGAGGGTGGGCGCCAGGGCGGGGCCTCGTGGTGACGCTGTGACCTCTCCGCAGGAAGCTCTCTGTGGCTGTGCCAGAGCAGCAAGGACCTGTGTCGTGTGAGCGCCCAGCACGCCCAGTCCCGCCCGTCCACCGTGCAGCTGCCCCCTGACGCCGAGATGAGGGCCTATGCTGCCTGCCAGGATGCCCTGTGGGCGCTGGACAGCCTCGGCCAGGTGTTCATCCGGACGCTGTCCGCCAGCTGCCCCACGGGCATGCACTGGGCCCGGCTGGACCTCTCCCAGCTAGGTAGGCCGCCCGCACCGCTGCCCCCGCCCGCCTTCAGCTGCGTTGAGAGGGGACGCCCGACCCGCCTCCTGGGGCCCTGTGTTCAACCACATGACTTCTTGGAGGCCTCTCGGCCGCTCACTAGATTTCGGGAAGCCGATTAGCCTCTCTTGCAGGTTAACGGGCCTCCTGAGGGTCTTGTGAGGAGCTTCTCCTCCCTGCCCCACCCCAGGTTGCAGGGTCCAGAACCCAGGAGGAGCGTGTCCCAGAGAGGGGCCAGGAGAGCCACTCCTGCCCATCCTGCAGTGTGGCCGCCTCTGCCACTCTGTGCCTGTCCAGTCTGGGCGCCGGGGCCAGGCCCGCGGCCGGGGCAGCCCTCCTCCCCCCACTGCCTGGGGTGTGCGGGTCCCCGCGTGCTCTGAGTGTCCCTGCCAGGGCAGCAGCCTGATGCTGCTTGTAAGTAATTCATTCCCATTCTGGGAAATAAGAGAGTGAGCCGCACCTTCAGGTCATCCTCCGGGCAGAGTGTCAGGTGTGCCTGTCAGGAGGCCAGGCTCCCCCAGCCGCTTAGGGCCCACGTGAGCCTTAGGAATACTTCCCTGTTGAACGGGTTCCCACCTGGTGAACTGACAACCAGTATTCTGTTTCTTAGGCGATAGACCTGAATTTTACAAGCATTTAACGTTTGAGAATTCAACCACATGTTCTCATTCAACAAATAAAAAGGAAGGACAAGAAAGCGAGAAAGGAGGTGGGGGCATTGTCCACCTCCCACCCCTGCAGCCCTCGCCTCGCCTCCAGCCAGCGGCCCCCCCATCCCATGATGCGCAGGCGCCGCTGTTCTTTGGCCCCCCTCGAGGCTCCCGGTGTAATCAGCTTAGCTGGAGAAGTAGCTTGGTTCTCAGCTGAAGCAGCAGCAAGCTTTGTTCCAAAGCTAGGAGTTCTCCAGGGTCATTTTGATTGTTTGTGCTTTGGCCTCTCAGTGGTGTGAACCTAAGCCCTGCACCAGGGCGGGTCGAGGTCCAGCCAGCAGAGCGCTCACCCGCCGCCACCCCCGGCGAGGACCAGAGTGGCTGCGCTGGCCGTGCTCCTGCCTGCGCTGTGGGGCGCCCTCCTGCCTGCCCTGGGACACTTGGGTTGGGTCCGACCCTGCTGGCCTGAGCCTTCTTCCATCAGCCCCAACCAGGCCAGCTTGGGAGTTTCTGGAGGCAAAAAGGTGAGCACGAGGTTTGTGTTCTCCTTGCTACAGAGTCTTGAGAGCAGTGGGAGGCTGCACCCTCGCCCCGTCTGAGTCAGAAGCAGCGCTCGTCTTTGTAGAGAGGCCACTGTGAGCACAGGGTGAGAGGTTGTCAAGCCTGGCTTCACTGTGGAACCAGCCCTGCCGGGCCTCCCTCCCAGTTCAGGCCAGTCCTCTGCAGTGGTTCTCTGGCCGGCGTGTCACAGGTCTCAGAGCTGCCCATCTGGGTTTCCCTGGAGTTGGTGGCTGTTCCATCGAGGGAAGAAACTCAGCTTGGTGGCAGGGGTTGAGTCTCAGTTCAGAGTGGGAGCCCACCGACAAGCCCGTCCTGAATTCAGGCTGCACTTCCTTCCCAGCCTGAGGAGGGCAGGGGCTCACAGAGCTGCCCTTCCCTTTGTCAGCAGAAGCGTCTGGAATCCAGCCGGGGCTGGAATGGGTCACAGATGGCCTGTGCAGGTGGGCGAGCTGAGACGTGGGGGCTCACAGCAGCAGGAGCTGCGCTGGCTGTGTGCGGAGCTGGGCCCTGCGCGAGTTTCCGGGTCACCTTGAAACCTCTGCTCCCACCTTTGTAATAGTAACAGCATCCCCACCCCAGACGGAGACTGCAAGTAAGCATCCCGTGTGAACGCTCACTCTCCCAGGCAGGGGTGATGGCTGCTGGGGGGTGTGGGGTGGGGGACATGATTCCAGGAAGCTCCGCTTTTTTGGTTTTTATCCTGCCTGAGCTCTGAGTTTATTTACCTGAGTTACTGGCTGATACTGAGATGATAGATGAAGATCCTTTCACCGTTTTCTGAGCATCCTGGGGGACAGCAGCAGCATGCCCAGAGTTGGGAGACAGGGGAAGTGTGCGGGGAGCCGCTAGGGGTGCTGGGCCGGGGTGGGGGCGGCAGAAGGCTGCTCGGGCTGCCAGCTCCTCTGTCATTGGGCTCTCTGCAGGGCTAGGCTGTGGAGCCTGTGGGACAGCGAGTTTTTAATCGGGGTTTCCAGAATTATTATTTAGAGTAGGAGATGCAGATTCTGAATTCAGGTGTGTGCTCCCTGCCCAGACTCCCGTCTGCGTGTCCGTGGCAGACAGTCGTCAGGCAGCTCTGCTGAGCATCAGGAAACGGCGTGTGGTGATGCGGATGCTGTAGGTGCTGCCTGGCTTGCACACCTGGGCTGGCCTGGGATGCTTCACGTTCTTTTAACAGCTGGCTGTGGTGGTGCTCACGGTGGGGAAAGGAAGCACAGCCTTGCAAGCCCATGGTTTTGCATATGAGGATTCTGTTCAGTAGCAGCTTCTCTTTCCCAAATGCACTTTTTTTTTGGTAGTCACCCTATGGTATTATATTAACCTCAGATGTACAGTATAGTGATTCAGTATCTTTTTATAGATCACACACTATACAGAGTTGTTATCGACTATGAAATGCCGACTCTGTTCCCCGTGCTGCACATCACATCTTTGTTGTCAATTTGTTTTGTAACTGGTTGTTTGTACCTCTTAATCCTCTTCACCTGTTCTGCCCCCCTTCCCGACCCCACCCCCATCTGGTAACTGCTAGTTTGTTTTCTGAATCTGTGAGTCTATTTCTGTGTTATTACATTTGTTCATTTGTTTTGTTATTTAGACTCCACATTTAAGGGGTTCCCTGATAGCTCAGTTGGTAAAGAATCCACCTGCATTGCAGGAGACTCCAGTTCAATTCCTGGGTCGGGAAGATCCCCTGGAGAAAAGGGGTAGGCTACCCACTCCCGTATTCTTGGGCTTCCCTTGTGGCTCGGCTGCTAAAGAATCCACCTGCAATGTGGGAAACCTGGGTTTGATCCCTGGGTTGGGAAGATTCCCCTGGAGAAGGGAAAGGCTACCCACTCCAGCATTCTAGCCTGGAGAATTCAATGGTCTGTATAGTCCATGGGGTCACAAAGAGTCGGACACGACTGAGTGACTTTCACTTTCACTTATAGGTGAACCACATGGTATTTGTCTTTCTCTGACTCTTTGACTATGTATGACACTCCCCAGATCCATCCACATGGCTGCAGATGGTGCGGTTTCATTCTTTTTCCTGGCTAACACTCCCCGTGTATATGTACCACGTCTCCATCTGTGCCTCTGCTGATGGATACTCAGGTTGCTTCCGCATCTTGCTGTTGTGAATAGTGCTGCTGTGAACAGCTTGATGAGGTGCATTTATCTTTCCAAATTAGTGTTTTCATTTTTTTTTTTTTCAGATGAATACCCAGGAGTGGAGTTGCTGGATCATATGATAGTTCTGTTTCTAATTTTTTGTGCAGTATTACTGTTTTCCACAGTGACTGTACCAATTTACATTCCCACTGACAGTGTACTAGAGTTCCCTTTTCTCCACATTCTTGTCAATACTTGTTATCTGTTGTCTTTTTGATGGTGGCCATTCTGATCGGTGTGAGGGGTGATACCTCATTGTGGCTGTGGTTTGCATTTTCCTAATCATTACTGATGTTGAGCATCTTTTCTCATGCCTGTCGGCCATCTGTATGTCTTCTTTGGGAAAATGTCTATTCAGGCCCTTTCTCCTTTTTAAAATTGGATTGTTTATGTGATTTTTAGTTGTATGAGTAGTTTATATAGTTTGGATATTAACTCCTTATCAAACGTCATTTGCAAACATCTCCCATTTAGTTATCGTTGTTGTACAGTCGCTAGGTTGTGTTTGACTCTGTGACCCCACAGACTGCAGCGCACCAGGCTGCCCTGTCCCTTCCTGTCTCCCAGAGTTTGCTCAAATTCACACCCGTTGAGTGAGCGATGCTATCTAACCATCTCTACCTCTGCTCCCTCCTTCTCCTTTTGCCTTCAGTCTTTCCCAGCGTTCGGGTCTTTTCTAATGAGTCGGCTCTTTGCATTAGGTGGCCAAAGTATTAGAGCTCAGCTTTAGCAACAGTCCTTCCAATGATCAGGCTTGATTTCATTTAGGATTGACTTGTTGGATCTCCATGTAGTCCAAGGGACTCTCAAGAGTCTTCTCCAGCACCACAATTTGAAAGCATCAATTCTTCAGTTCTCAGCCTTCTTTATGGTCCAATTCTCACATCCATACATGACTACTGGAAAAACTATGACTTTGACAATATGAATCTTTGTCAGCAGAATATATTTGCTTTTTATTTTGCCGTCTAGGTTTGGATTTCTCTCCTTCCAAGGAGCAAGCATCTTTTAATTTCATGGCTGCAGTCACCATCCGCAGTGATTTTGGAGCCCAAGAAAATAAAGTTTGTCACTGCTTCCACTTTATCCCCTTCAGTCCATTCAGTTCAGTCACTCAGTTGTGTCCAACTCTTTGTAACTCCATGGACTGCAACACGCCAGGCTTCCCTGTCCATCACCAACTCCTGGAGCTTACTCAAACTCATGTCCATCAAGTCATAATGCCATCCAACCATCTCATCCTCTGTCGTCCCCTTCAGCTCCTGCCTTCAATCTTTCCCAACATCAGGGTCTTTTCCAGTGAGTCAGTTCTTCGCATAAGTTGGCCAAAGTATTGGAGCTTCAGCTTCAGCATCAGTCCTTCCAATAAATATTCAGGACTGATTTCCTTTAGGATTGCCTGGTTGGATCTCCTTGCTATCCAAGGGACTCTCAAGAGTGTTCTCCAACACCACAGTTCAAAAACATCAGTTCTTTGATGCTCAGCTTTCTTTATAGTCCCAACTCTCACATTCATACATGACTACTGGAAAAACCATAGCTTTGACTAGATGGACCTTTGTCAGCAAAGTAATGTCTCTGCTTTTTAACATGTTGTCTGGGTTGCTTGTA